TTTGTCTCTGTGTCTTCTATTCTAGTACATTCACCTTCATGACTGTTTTGGTGCCAGTACCATGCCGTTTTTGTTACTATAGCTCTGTAGTATAATTTGAGATCTGTTATTAGGATGCTTTCTGTTTCACTCTTCTCACTAAGGATTGCTCTGACTATTCTGGGTCTCTTATTTTTCCAAATTAATTTCAGAAATGCCTTTTCTAGTTCAGTGAAGAATGTCACTAAAATTTTGATGGGGACTACACTGAATCTATATAGTTCTTTTGGTGGTATGGCCATTTTGACATTGTTAATTTTGCCTATCCAAGAACAAGGGAGGTCTTTTCATCTTCTAACATCTTTAATTTCGTTCTTTTAGTGTTCTATAGTTTTCACTACAGAGATCTTTCACCTCTTTTTGTTAGATTGATTCCCAAGGTTTTCGATTTTTTTCTTTCTTTTGAGGCTATTATAAATGGGATACTCCTAATTTGTTTTTTGGCAGACTCATCACTGGAGTATAGGAATGCAACTGATTTATGAGGGTTGATCTCGTATCCTGCTACCTTGTTAAAATCATTTATGAGCTTTAGAAGTCTTCTGGTAAGAGTTTTTGGGATCTTCTAAATATGGGGTCATGTCGTTAGCAAACAAAGAGTTCTTCTTTTCTTACTTGTTTCCCATTAACTTCCTTCTTTTACCTGATTTATCTGACTAGAGTTTCAAGGACTATGCTGAATAGGTTTGGTGAAAGTGGGCATCTTTAGCTTCTTCGTATTTTTTAGAGATAATGCTTTCAGTTTTTCTCCATTCAGAATGATGTTGGCCTTGGGTGTATCATATATAGTCTTTACAATGCTGAGGTAAGCTCCCCTATCCCTAGGTTTTCTAGTGTTTTAAGCATAAATGGGTGCTGCATTTTGACAAATGAATTTTCTATATCTACTGAGATAATCATATGATTCTTTAACTTAACCCTGTTTATGTGGTGAGTTGCATTTCTTGATTTCTGTATGTTGAACCAACCTTGCATCCCTAGGATCTTTTTAAATGTGTTTTTGTATGCTGTTTGCCAATATTTCATTAAGATTTTTTTCATCTATGTTAATTAAGGATATTTGGCCTGAAGTTTTCTTGATTTTTCTTTGTCTGATTTTGTATTCAGAATGATGATAAAGGCTTCATAGAATAAGATTGGCAGTCTTCCCTCCTTTTCTATTTCATGGAATAATCTGAGGAGAACAGGTATTAGAGTTCTTCTATCTTTAAAGAGTTTTGGTAGAATTTGGCTGAAAATCCATGCAGTTCTGAGCCTTTCTGTGTTGGAAGGCTTTTGATGGCTGCTTCAATTTTATTACTTGATACTGATCTGTTTAAGTTTTCTATATCCTAATGGTTTAATTCAGGTAGGTCATAGATTTCTAGGAATTTTTCTTTAAGATTTTCTAGTTTATTGGAAGATAAATTTTCAAAATGGTTTCTGATGATCCTCTGGATTTTAGTAGTATCCTATAGTGATATTTCCTTTTTCATCTTGAATTTTGAATTTGAATGTTTTCTCTCTTTGTTTTGGTTAGTTTGGCTAAGGGTTATCAAACTTGTTTACCCTTTCAAAAAAACAACTCTTTGTTTCTCTTTTGTATTGTTTTTTTTTTAATCCACAATTTCATTGATTTCGGCTCTGATTTTAATTATTCCCTGACTTCTTCTGATTTTGGTGTTGGTTTGGTTCTTCTTTTCTAGGGCCTTGAGATGTAATGTTAGATTATTTATTTGGTATCTCTATTCTTTTGATGTATGAACTCAATGCTATATACTTTCTTCTTAGAAATGCCTTCATACTTTCCTAGAAATTCTGATAAATTGTTATCAGTATTCTAATTTACTTCCCTGATTTCTTATACTATCCATTCACCATTCAAAGGTGTATAATTTAGTCTCCAGATATTTGAGATGTTATTGTTTTTATCTTATTGTTGATTTCTAATTTCGTTCCATTATGATCTGATAAAATGGGATATTATTATTTTAACAAAGCAGCAAAATTTAAGAACAAACAATTATTTCACAAGATAGCAAGTTCTAGGTTTTTAATAATTCTTATTATTCAAAATTTTAATTGGTTCTGCTTTATTATTTTAGTAATAAGAATTCTGAAATCTTCAGCATGACTATCTAGTCATACCTTATATATCTGATCACCTTCTTCTGGTTCTGGACTAGATGGCAATGATAGCTGAATATCATGCAATGACCCACTTCCATCATGCTGTCAGAAAGAACAAAAAGAGAAGATTAATACAATAAATGCAGATAATCACTTCAATTTGAATTCACCTAAATCATATCCTAGAAGAAAAATGGGAGATAAGATTTTAGAAATCTCCTTTTTCATTTCTGTACCAACAGAAGGGGGAAAAAAGTGAACCAAGGGCAAGAATAACCTGTGGAAATAAATAATAGATACTATATAAATGATAAAGCAGAAAACCACTGAATGCTTTAGAGCTACAATTGGAGTCTGTAAAATTTCCTAAAGAATTTTAAGATTACCACAGCAAAGAAACAGCATAAAAGTCAATTGATTCTTCCCTCTTTAAATGTGTTTTGGTATAAAGCAGTCAGAAATAATAATATTAAATAACTCAAAAAAGCTTAGCTATAAAAATCATTCAATTAAAGAATACTAGATACATGAGAATACCTATTCATGACTCCCATTTATGACAAAACTAAGTAGTCTATGTCTTGCCTCTGTGGTTTTTATATAAACATACATATGAAAAATTCAAGTTGTACAATTAAGGTTGGTACATCTTAAGTACTTTACTTGATTGTATGTTGTACTTCAATAAAAAAAGGTGAACAAATTAAACACTTTGACCTTAAACATGATAAAGAAAATGAAATGAAAATATTAATTTCCAATCTTCACTGAACTGGTTTATGAATAAGAAATCAGATGTTCAAAGATTCAAATAGACAAACTCAAAAAAGATTCAGACTATGGTTAGACTGATGGTGAGAGATTATGACCTGATAAAACACAACAGCAACACCCACTCAGCAACTTTCAAGGAGCATTAACATCACAAATTTTTCTCAGACATACTTGTTCTGATTTCCCAGGGTGTAGATAATGATGACCTGTATTGAAAAGGAGTGTTCTAGTAGGGGAGATGAGTATTTAAGTTATTATCTTCCTTACCTATTATACTACATAACTCTCTGAATCAGAATCTCTAGGGATTAGGCCCAGGAATATGTATGTAGAAAAGTTCAACAGACAATGCTGATCAACAATAAGGACTAAGCATTTGTCAAAATTTCAGTATGAATAAATTATATTTGCATTAGTGATGTCATATGGCTCAACACCCGTAAGAAGCAATAACCTGACAAAATGCACATATGTTGTCAGAACATCACATTTTAAAAAAATGTATAAAAGAGGAAAAGAAGGAAGAAACATTTTACAATAATCATTTCAATAAAATTTCATCTGTTTTTAATGACTTTATATGTAAAAATAGAGTCAGTCCTATACACAAGTTATGTAAGAAAAGACAGACCATAAAAATTTTGACTTTTTTCCAAATATCAAAATATCTTCCTGCCAACTGTAAAGCAGAAACCCCAATGAATGAGAGAATACTCAAGTATACACTACTTTACAATGGATATGGGTGCAGTGGTGGGAAGTATGCAGCAGAGCCAAAAAAAAAAAAAAAGGAAGAATGAAAAAAAGAAACAAAAAACATCAGTTTTCAGGGTGGAGAAAAAAAAGGAAATCCTAGCAAAAACAGAAAACACATGGGAGATTGCAAAATATCAAAAACTTGGGAAGTAACTTGATAAAGTTTAATGTGAATTACTAAGTTCACCCCTGAGAAGCACCTGTTTACAACTGATCCTTAATAGTACATCAAAGGGTGAAAAATAAACCTAGAAATAAACTAAGACCATTATCCAGGTCCCAAACCAGCCTCTGGTATACAGTCAAGAACAGATCTGGAGAGGATGACAAAATCTTTGAAAATAACTGACTCTGAAACCACACTCCAACTGACACTGAAACCTTACAAACCAAAATGCCAAAATAATAACTCCAAGGTTTACTAGTTAGAATCTGTAGCCTGAACAAAATTAGATTGTGTACTAATGTTTAAAAAAATAAAAACAATATTATTTAAATAAGATCAAGAATCTTATTAGAATAGAATTTAAATAAGATAAAGAATCTCATAACACAATGTTCAAATATTTAAGATAATCCAAAATTATTCAATATAAACAAAGGAAAAAATCTCAACTCACACAGATGACAATGCCAAAATGACACAGAAGGTAGAAATTGATTGAAAAAGATATTAATAAAGCTGTTATAAAAACTCCCCAAAAGTAAAGGTGAACTGTTGAAGTAAACAGAAGAGAAAGTTTCAGCAAAGAAAAAGAGTTTATAAAGCAGAAACAACTGGAAATGTTAGGCCTGGTATAATTCAAACATTAAAAATTTTAAATGCACTCAAAGGGCTAAATATCAGCATTTGAGATGACAGAGTGACCTGAAGATAGCCCAACAGAAATTATGCACTCTGACCAATGAAGAGAAAAAAGATTGGCAAAGGGGAAAAAAATAAACAGAGCCTGCGCAAGGAACTAGAGAAACAATTGTAAATGATCTAACATTAATGTCTTTGAAATCACAGAAGGGAGAATGGGAGGCAGAAATAATGGATGAACAGTGAAAGATATGAACTTAAAGAATTGAGAAGCTCAATTTAAAAGAAACTAAATATATACTAAATATGCTTTCAAGAACACAAAGGTAATTAGAAATCAGTAACAGAGGATAATCCCCTAGTAATTGAAAGAAAATAACTTAATACCAAGTTGTCAAATCAGTCCCTGAAATAAAACAAGCCTAAAACAAATAGAAGAAAACAATAAAATATAGAAATTAATGAAATAAAATTTTAAAAAATCAAGAAAATTAAAAACCAGTTTTGTGGAAGATGCTAAAAAAATAAAATCAAACAAAACTGTGAAACAGGAAAAAAATATAAAAGGTACAAATCAAGGCTCCAATATTGTATTGAAGTTTTCAGTCAGTACAAGGGGCAAGCAAACAACAAGAAGAAAAAAAGAAAGGATCCATTAAGATAATGTAATTTTGGGTGTAGAAAATCCTAGAGTATGTACAATAAAACTACCAGAACTAACACATAAATATAGGAAAATAACAAGTTTACAAGGTTAATATTAAAAAAACAACTATTTTGTGGCAAAGAACAAATGGAAATTGATTTCACTAAAACAATAACAAAAAATAAATAAACCTTACAAACCAAAATGCCAAAATAATAAAAATATCAAAACCAAGAAAAAGAAACCAAAAAAAAAACTTGTAGAGAAATACTTCAAAGTATCAATAGACTATGCATATTAAAAACAATGTGTGTATGTGTGTTAAGAAATCAGGGAGAAATAAATGAAGAGATGACCTCGTTTGGTAAACTAAGAGACTTAATGTTACCAGACTGAAAGATTCAATATTGTTGATATATAAATTCTCTTCCAAATTCAACTTATAGATTCAAAAATTCCCTGAATCAAAAATCCCAAAAGAATATTTGTTTGTAGAAAGAGAATTGTTTCCATTTTAAAAAGAACAAAAAAGGAGAAGTTACACTATATCATTTAAAAAGTACTAAAAATGAAGAGAGAGTGGTACTAGTATAAGGACCAACACAGATCAAGGAAATTTAAAAAGTCCAGAAATAACCCCACACATTTATGGTTAAAGGTATTCTTGAGAAAACTACGAAGAAAATTTAATAGAGAAAAAATATTATTTCCAAGAAATGGTGGTAAAATTGAAAATCCATATTCTGTAAAATGAACTTTACCCATAACTCACACCATATACAAAAAAAACTCTCAGAACAGATTGTAGACCTAAATTTTAAGCTTAAAACTAAAAACTTCTCCAAATGAACAGAAAATATTTTTATGACCTTTAGTTGAGAAAGTTTCTTAAATTTAAATACTAAAAACATGATCCATTTAAAAATGTTAATAAAATCAAAATAGAAACCATGGATGGGAGAAAAAATATTTGGAATGATTCAGGTAATAATGCTGACCATAGTGCCTAATTCATGGAAAGCATTTAAAAACTTTTACTATTTTTTAAACAATAGCCATAACAAAAATGATAATGTTGTAGGTCTAGAGTTTCTAACTAATTGCATTAACTCACAAATCTGACTCACAACTCTCATAAAAATTAATCATCTTTTTGAGCAGGGGCTAACAAATTGTGATCTGAAAGAAAAATGTAACCTCTTTATTATAGTTCACAAGTTGAAATTGGTTTTTATATTATTAAATGGTTGCATATGGAATATTTTATAAATATTTACCTAACAGCATCAATTTTAGTTCTTGCCCCAAAAGGTTAAAATATTTATTATGTGGTCCACACTAAGGAGAAGTTATCTAACCTCTATGCAAGGCCACAAAGGAATATCAATGTTTTATAAAGAATTCATGCCATACAGATATTATTCATTATAACAATTTTTAAAAGTGCAAAATTTACTCTAAATAGTAAAAAGATAGTCCAAGACGAGAAATTATTGATATTTTAAGTTATTGCTATGCTTCAAATAAGAAAAATCTTGCCTTCTTCTATTTTTAAAAGTCTGGCAATCTAAATTTAGGAGATCAAAGAGAAAAAAAGGCTTTCATTTTCATCAAAGCCCAAGAGTCATAAAGACCATAAATATCATCTCCAACTTTAGTAATTAATAAAAAAAAATCCCTCTGCAAATAACACTGAGACTTAACAATGGTAGTATTCTCTATTAAACTTTGATTAAGATGAAAGTGTCCAGGTCAAAATTAGAAAACATTTTCAGAAATGTTCCTTTAAGCATTACAGGGGAAAACATTATAAAAGGGACAGAAAATATATTCCTTCTTTAAAGAATACCAAAGAAATAATTTCATGCATGCAATTTTCATGCTTCATATTATACAAACAAAAAAGCTAACTTTCCCTGACATGCACCAGGCACTGTTCTGTTTTGCATAAACAAATGTAATAAATAGGAGTAAAAATAATACAAAGAACCTCCACACCAACTGAACAAAACACATGCAATTTATAGTTAAATGACTATCCAAGTACTCTGTGCTGCTTTACTGTGTGAAGTGTCAGCAATTTTTATGGCCTCTAGTTAGGATTTTTAAATTCTAAATGCA